GTGGTTGGAGAAGAGACACACAGCAGCACCCAGTGAATATTAACCAGCAGCTACTTTGATGTTTAAGTAAAAGTTAGGAGACAGATTGATTAAAAAAATTGGAGATGCCACCAAAAAATCTGTTTGTTAGACATAAAGAGCTTTTTAAACTAAAAATGGCAACAGATTGAAAGTTTAAACAACTTAGTATTATAATGTAAGAAGCTTGATAAAACATAGTTTGTTCTTCTTTATAGTTAAAAAAGCTTGGCTTCTCAGAGGACCATGACTCCCAGTTACAGGTTAAAATTTACATGTTTTCTTATTGTGCAGACAGAATCAGACTTCAGAGCTTCTACGTAGCTTGAAATGTTATTTCTGGCATCATTATATCAGTAAAGAGGTTCATAAATCTTTTTAAACAGAGCAGAGAGAGAAGTAGGGAGAGCTTCAGATTTAAGGGGGAAACAGATTTACTGGGATATGCAATGTGCAATAAAATATATCTCCAAGTTTACCAGAAAGTTTACAAGAAGAAAATATGCTACTCTATATTTAAAATGCAGCATATCTATTTTTTTCTGGATGGAATTGAAATTGTACTTCCAGGGATGCATGATAAATCAATTTTGGCAATGGAATCGGCTCTTATTAATTGTTTTTTTTTTTCAAGCATTGATGTTTAGGGGTGAATCTAGTGTCCTGTTTGTCTCTGTGTTACCCTGCGATGGACTGGCTACCTGTCCAGGGTGGACCCCACCTCTCGCCTGTAGACAGCTGGATATAGTCACCAGCGTCCCTCGTGACCCCAATTGGGACAAGCGTGTCAGATAATGGATGGATGGATGATGTTTTTGGGCCCTATATTTGTAATGCAATAAAAGGTATCTCTCTAACATCTATAAATACAGATATCAGTGTGTTGTGGTCTGGTTTTCTCAAAAATAGGAAAGCATTCATTAAATAGATGTTTAAGCGAGTGTCCCCACCCAACAAGACCCCCCCCCCCAAAAAAAGATGTCCTCCTTTTCAGAAACCCATATCTGGTCGCCCTATCTAACCAATAGGCCAACACTCCCCATAATTAAGCATATAAATAAATTCCTGAGGAACAATTTATCATTAAGGAGGAAGCACTTTGACAGATTTTGACATAAGACCTCATTGGCTGACTAGTTGACAGTGGTTGTGGCTAATGCTGCAACACCATGAGTGAGGCTTCTGTTAGATTTAAGAGGAATGTATTTAAACTTAACATTAGCATGGTTAATTAATCAAATCATTCCTATAGTACTGCTTAAATTATAACATCATCCATTAAATAAGTAAAAACCGACGGTTAAAACTCCACTGATGTCAAAGAGGCTAAGTACTATAAAGTGCAATTGATATAAATTGTACTTTCCAAACTATACTCACTATAAGCCACGCCCACTAAATTTTTGGGGGGGAAAATGGAAAAAAAATATTTCAATAAATGTACTTAATTGGATTTTCTATGTTTTCAGGCAAACGGTTTTCTCAATTTACTTATCAAGTTAGGCTTCTAGATATGATCCAGTTACAGAACATGGGAGCCCCTGAATCAGTCAATCCCTGTATGAGGAAAAAAAAAGACAGGAATAAGCATCATAACTTAAAACTTTGTTCAAAAAGGAAGCCTTGTGTATAATTTTGTGGGTAGGAGATGTAAACCTCGCCAAGCCTGCAGGAATCTGGAATCAGCCTCCCAGACTCTTTTTTTAGGTTGCTCACCCTAAACCAAAACTAAAACAACATCCAGTGTGTAAGTAAGGGTAGGATTAAAAGCCAGGCTCTGTGACAGTGTGGGGCTGCAAAACTGGTCTTGCCAACAGTAATGCAGAGTGGTGTAAGTGTTCCTTCTTTCCTACAGTATGTTCTGCAGAAACGCCCATGCAGTTTCCATTCATGGCCTTTCAGCAATGGGTGTGAAGAATTGTATAAACTGAAGCTTCCCCAACTACTGAGCCCTGTTTATAGGTTAAAAATTACTGAGAACCTCAACAAACTAAGATTTGCTCTATGATGCAAACATTGGGTCATTTGCCACTTGCTTGTTTGCATGTAAGTTTGTGCATGTGTCATGTACGCTCTGATGGTGACCTGGAGAAGCCGGGTATAAAAAGGCAGCACCTGCATCCTGTTCATTAAGCTGACCGAGCAGCAAATGAGAGGTTAACGAAGGAAAACGGAGAGGGTGCCGCAGGAAGCGAGTTTCCTGTGACATCACAACACTTCCTGACAAACTCTTCCTATACTGAGATAATGACGCAGCTTTGAATCCAGGAGCTAAATCCTACAATGCTGCTGTGTATACAGCGCCCCTGACATTTACAGCCCCGCCCCGCCCCGCTGGAGTTTAAAAAGCAGTTATCTCAATATTGGATGGAATTAAATCTAACTTTAACTCTACTTAACTTAACTCTAAAAATTAAGATAAATCCAGCCTTTAATTTGAGTACATTTATTCAGAAAACAACATGGCGAAAAACCCTCATTTAACAAGAACACGATAACAGAATTATTGGTACCCAGGACTATTCCTATAAATAAAATTGGTTTAATTTATTCATTATCTGTTACAGTTGATGGAAAAGACAAAACAATATTCTGATTAAATTAGTATTTTTTTCTTAGGCAAATGTTTATGAGAAAAGCATGAACACAATTACAGCAAAAAATACAGCAAAGATGATCTTTACTTTCTTAGTCTGAATATAAATTGTAAGATTCTTTCAAAACACTAACCTAATGTGGAGGGAGCCTTCTAGGATGGAGCATTCCCTTTCCTAACATCACAAATTCAGCATTTAAAGTTTTCTAGATTTAACAGGGACTTAAACTGAAGCTTTGTTCAGGTTAGGAGGCACTTTTCGCAAGAATGTTTAAATATATTAACCTCATCGTTAAAGTCGTAGGGAACGGCCGTTCCAACAGTTTCATTTCCGAATTCTCCCGACTTTAAACGAGTGAATAAAGTGAATGTGATTGGTCGTTTATCAAGAGGGTGGGCTTGTTGTGGAGGAAAGTTCGCAAGCAAGTTTGGTTAGCAACATAGTGCTAGTAGGTTACCAATGGGAAATTCCATTGGGACCAAGTAGCACTAAATTGGTGACTTAGAAACAACACTTTCAAGGAACGCTATGGACAGAGGAAACATGCAAGAGGAGAAAAGTTTTTTGTCGGAGGTCGTGGATGAGTCTCCTCTGTCATACATTTTTTATTTAGAAGAGGAAAGCGGGGACTAAGATTTTGTGGAAGAGGACGCCAGGGCGGTAGAAGCCTGGTTTGGTGTAGAAGGCTTACAGCCGTACATGTTTGAGCCCTTGCCTCGCAACACTGCCAGTTCTGTTAGCTCTAAGCCTGCTGAAGACACAGACGTCCATCCCAGTGAACACTGGGACGGAACTCAATGGGAAAGGAAATTATTCTTATTTCTTATTCCAACCGTTGCGTATATTAGCTGCAACATATGAATCAAGATGCTATGACCGGAAAAAGTTGATTGACAGATGACCGTTGATATATGATTGACTGAATTTAGGTGTACAAGCTGACGTATAACTAACTGGCCTGCATAAGATTATGAGAAAAAAAACACAGATTTTAAGACAGGATTTTTTTTTTTATAAATTTTCTAAATTTTGGGACAATATAGTCTGTTAAAGAATAAATTTATATACATGTTTAAGCCAGAATGATTTGACATATTAATATGATTTCCCTATGAAGCATAGGGGAGGAGGTATGATGCTTCAGACTCAGTCTTTCAGCTCCTGAGAGCTTTGTTAGATTACATGAAATAGATGGATGTCATATTTATTTATCAAATTCATCATTCAAACATTAGATGTATATTTAAATTCTTAAATTCAGAATGAATTAATTAAATTTCCTATTAAAATAAAATATTAAACATTTAGGATGAGGATATAAATAGTTCAATTTAAGTGAATATAATTAACTGACTTTATGTGTATAAATTAATTAGAAGCGAAGTAATTAACTTCTAAATCAAGTCACAGATTCTGCATCACACTGATACCCTAAACCAAAGTACTTCATATTTGCATCATACAGTATATATTTGACTTGAAATGCTCTAAACTTTTATATCAATGCTTTTTGCACCATGTTTTTTTTCTCCCACACTGTTTACATTTGATCACAGCTTCTCTTTCTGGAATGGAAATGTTAATTTCACTGCTAAGCTGCAGCTCATTTACTGTCTGAAAGCTGTGCAAAGCGAAATTTCATTCTGTGTGCACCCTGTGTATACAAAATGACAATAAAAGTTGTCTAAGTGAAAAAATATTTTTTGTTATTTTTATGATCACAGGCTGAAATGTTAAAGTAACCCAAACCTTTAATATTCCGCTCTAAGATAAACACTTAAATTAAAGGTTAGCTTGTTTTATTTGTTTATTTTTCTTGTGTACTAAATAGATGAAAGAATTTTACATATTTTTATCTGGGGTTCAGATATTTTAGTGTTTGTGGTCCTGCCTGTAAAACACACACAGAGAGCTGCAGAACCACGCCTGCAGAGTCACACACTGTAAGCAAAGGTTTAACTTCACTGCCTGATTTTTTTCCCCCAAATCCTCTAAATCTACAGAACATCTTCCTTAATCATTTCCTGGCCTGAAAACAGCCCAGCCGCAGCATTTCCGACATGCCTGCTCAGTAAGAGCGCTAAGCCTCGGGACATTGCTTGTTTTTTTGCCAGCTAATGTCAAAATTGGGATTTTATTTTAGTCATCCAGAAGCCTGTGATTCTTCAAGCATGACATTTTTTCTTAAACATCATGAAGCAAAGAAAATAAAAAAAGGGGGAAAGTAAATCCCACCCCAGTGTGGTGTTTTTATTCTCGGCTGGTAGAGTTTGGATGAATGTGGCTCTAATGAAAAACAGAAGAGGCCCACTTTTAGGATAGGAGAAACTTTGGTCTCGCTCTAAAATATTTAGGTTTTTTTTTAAACCCTAACCCAACAAGCATACCTGAATAAAGGCCAGAGCAATAAAAAAATCCTTTCTACTAACTATCAATCTTTCCAGCATGGACTTTACAGCTTTCCTTCTCATTAAAAAGTGCTTCATTCTTGCCTTAACGCTCAGGGGAAGGGAGCAGCAGGACAATGGCCGGGGCAATGGGATCTCAGCTCCTATAAAAACGCTTTAAGTTGCTGTTCCAAGTTTTTCTCCAGAAAGAAACCGCCATGTTCCAGAGTTTTCCATCTTTCTGATAGATTACCCACTAGCCACTTCTGAACCCACATCCTGCTGCTAAACAAGGCGTCTTGCAACAGTTTTTATGCCTCTTTTGACATGATGTGATTTTCTATAAACGAACAACACACCGTAGTTTATATCCATCCCGTATTATTCCAAATCTGGAAGGGATCATTCCTTGTTTTCATCATTTTCACCACTGTGTAGAAAGCATTGACTGGTAGCAGGGTATAGTTGATGTTCAAGCAGTTATTTGTTTTTGTTTTTAAGCTTATACAGCAGCAATATCTCAATGTTTTAATAGGCTCTTAGTTCGGGATACAATAAAATAGGGATGAAAAAAATATATACTGTATATTTTTACGCCTTTGGGGAAGAGGGAGTGGTAGTCCAAAAAAAAAGAATGTTTCAAACACTATGTTGACCATTGTGGGGGGCGGAAGTAAAATATATCAGGTGTAGACCCTTTATTTTGATAGGCTTAAATCAATCAGGAGTCCAACCGTCTTTCAAACATTACCCTGAACATATCATTACAATGTTGGAACATGGAGGTGGCAGCCTTATGCTGAGGAGATGTTTCTTTTGAGCAAGAAAAACAAAAAAGAGCACATAGAAATAGAACTACAATGAAATATTTCAAATCATATCATCTGTTGGAAGGAGGTTTCTTCCTGTTAAAAGGGAGCTTTTTCTCTCCACTGTCGCTACAAGCATGCTTGGTGTTAGGGATTGCCTTGGAGTCAATGAGTCGATACAATCCACTGATTTTGAACTGAATTAAATTCATACAGAAAGGCCCAGTCAAAGTTCAGATCTGAATCTAGTAGAGAATCTGCAGAAATCCAAAGTTTTACACAGAATAAGATGCCCTGGTGTTTGTGGTCCTGAGGTTTCAACACTTTATGCAAGCTGCTCATGGGAAAAAAAGGAAAAATCCTAAACAGAAACAGAAACCTCTCTGTTTAAATGAAAAAGTTTCCAGGATTTCTAAATGTTGATTTTGGAAAGCTCTGTGGGCTGAGAGTGTTTACCCCAGCAGGATGGATCCAGTAATGACAGAGATCTCAAAGCTTCTTCTTTTATTCGCTCTTACCTCCAGCTCACTCTCCAAGCGGTTAATGTCATCTGTGGACTGGTTCAGCTTCTCCAGCTCTCCCTGTTTACAGCAAACATGGGAGAACAAAGACAGGCAGACAGAGGAATCAGACTGAGGCTCTACTGTGTGACTTCTTTTTAGTCAAATTACTAACTGTGTGTCTCTGCATGTGCCAAGAAAGCATTAACAGGGACTCACATTATGTCTTCAGTGTGAGTACATCTAAAGTATTCAAAAAGTGTTTTACATAGATAATAAATAGTAATTACCACACTAATAAAGATAATAAGAAAAATTCCACACAAGGTCAGCCTTCATAGGATTATTTCATCCTTTTCTATGCATCTCTCACCTGAATTCTTGGATCCACTTCTTCCTCCTCTTCAGCACATACAGAGTCATCCTCACAGATATTCCCATTCCGCTCCATCCTAAAAAGAATACCTGCAAATTTCCCCCTTCTTTCCCCCCTTTCTCTTTGGTAGAGAAGCGAGGGTCCTCCTCAGTGCAGACAATACTGAGGCGCGGTGAGCCGCCCTGTTTAACCTTCACACTGTGCGCCCTGCAGGCTGCATGCGCTCAGAGGATCTACTGTGCGCACAGGAGCAGAGGTGACCGCGGGGCCCGCAGAGCGCCGCGTCCGGCCGCGGAGACGTCCTCAAAGAGCCGGAGAAGGACCATAACTTCAGCCGTAAACGAATCGCTAGAAAGAAAAGTTACCTACTTTGATAAATGGGATCGTTTCCGGAATCAGACCTTCAATGTAAAGCTCAAACAGCGCAAACATGGCTGCGATGTTTTCCCCCTGATTTTAAGGTCTGTATGGAAGCCCGTTTCCGCCAAATGAAAAAAAAAAAATCCAGATGGTAAGTCGTAATTATGAGATACAAAGTCATAATTTCGATTTCTAAAGTCATAATTATGACTTTGAAAGTCATAATCATTATTATATTTTTTTTCTTTTGCTTTCTAGCCCAATGTTAATTGGCTTTGGAGGGTGGGCATTATAAGTTTCTTGCTCCTGCCAATACACCCTTTTTCAGATTGTTTTAATTTATGTTATATGGACATATACTGTCTTTGTTATATAGCTACTTTTATGTCTGAAAAATAAATTTGAATAATTAAGTCTTTATATTTGGCATTTTTTTACTTTCATGAAGAGGAAACGGGCTTCCATACTACCTTAAAAAAAATTGGCGATTGATTATTTTGGAAAAAAGTATCATCATTTTCAAATGCTAGAAAGCCTTAGCATTAGAGCAGCAACTAACAATTATTTAGCAAATTGATAAATCTGCTGATTATTTTTTTTTTTTTTGATTAATCGATTGATAATCGGATAGCCAAGGGTTCCTCAAAGAAGACCTTTTCCGAAATTAAACTAAAAATAAAACTTTTCCACTTCAGTTCTGGATAGAGCATAATGACTGATAAAAAATATATTTTTATCTTGAAATTCAAGATTAAAAAAAAAGTTTTTGTCAGAATGTAAATATATATATATATATATATATATATAAAAAAAAAAAAATATATATATTAACATTTTGCATTCAATACCGGAATTCACTATGTTTCTATATATTTTTTCTAATCTTGGCATAATTACTACTCTTAGTGGGTTTCTACACATCATGTTTTAGAGGATTTCTACTCCAGTTGACGATCAATCGATTAGTAAATTAGTTTACCATTATTTCAATAAACGATTAATCATGATTAATCCAATTAATGTTTCAGCCCTAATTAGTTGTTTAATTAATGCACAAATAATAAAAAATACATGTACATGAAACAAAGAACATGCTGCACTACCTTAAAACAAAATAATGAGTTTTAAATACTCAGCTTAATTACTGACTTGTAACATTCAGGTTTTTATTATGCATATGTGTCTGATTTTGTGAATATAAGTATATAGTATGAATGCATTTTTGTTTTGCACTAATTTCTTGTAAACTCTGAGAATACATGTAACCAAGTTAGAGTAACCAGTTGTTGAGAGGCATGACAGGAAAAATCCAGCACTATCCCATCGCTACATGTCATGTTTG